CGCATATACAAACACGATTAGAGAAAGCCAGACAACGAAAAAAGGCAATCCCAAAGTTTAATCGTTTGAAAATTAACAAGTGTCGGCACGTTGATTCGTTCAGTACGCAATAAGTTATGCATTTACCATGATACATAGTGAAGTTGTGCTGTCATCGGGCATGACTATAGAGGCACCCGGCGTTCTATCTTCACGTACAGCCAACTTTGTTCCACGAGTCTAAACTTAGTTGCCTTAAGGTTTAGATCGGGAACTAAGAAAGTGTCGCTTTCATGTTGATATGCTGTCATGACTTTTTTGCGGAACAACAAAAGTCTAGGATATAAAAGAAATGCTGACGGTTTGACAGTGTCATCATACGTATGTTATCTAAAGACATGTTAGACCTAAACGCCATGTTTGGATTCGTTCTTTCATGAAAAATATACCTGCCCTGCCTGCAAGAGTTAGGTAGAGGCATCATTCAACGTTTGTTTTTCTGTTGCTCGTTATGAAATTTTGTGTGTGTAAACCGTACTGTACAAAAAAACTGATGTGCCAAGCACCAAGCATGACCAGCCTATTGTTATGCCTGCGTTCCTGAGCACTAAGGAAAAGATTATCACACACGCCATGGGCTTCTATTTTCAGAAGTAACTCCGTACATGTAAATGTTTTGTAAGATATACAATTTGTTAAAGAGTTTTAGAGATACTAAATCGATTAAAGGGAACTATAGTTGTGCCATTGGACAAATAAAATGAAGAATTGCTCGCCACGAATGAAAATCCTGCTTTTGTCAGGAGCTTTGTCTTCCAGGTCGTTGCCAAGAAGCAGTGGAAATATATTAAGTTTGCGAAACGCACTTAATTACAGCGACTGAACATTCAAGGATATTGCGTGATTATTATCACAGTTATATAAATCACGTGGTCAGTATTTCAATTTACTATTGCCGATTACGCTTTGTCCCACTAATTATGCAGATTTTACAGTGACCGTCTAGGGTCTTTAACAAGAACAGCGTTATTTAGATCCGACAAACTAAATGCAAAACCTAATCAAAGTGTACTGTCTTCTTTGTTCAAAAACGAAACATTTTCGTACTCATTTCCCACCATTACCATATTGAAACCAGCTTATGCCCTGCCATAGTCCCTAAAACGCAGTGGTTAAGAACTAACCATTCAAAGACAACAGTAAACAAACAATGATAACATACAGTATCGTTTTTCGGCACAATCCACATGAACACTGCGATACCATATGGGTTTTCAGAAGCAGCGCAAACCCGCTGCGGAAATAGTTAACAAGTCTCGGAAGCCTGTTACGCATTAGGTAAAGTGTGCTTCATAGAGAAGGTACCTCACCAACAACGATTACGAGGCGCTTCTGACAATCGAGCGAACGATCAACCAAAGAACACACACACGAGATACGCAAAGAAATCCCACTCGAGATGACCTAAATCCAGCGGAAAATTACCACCTAAAAATGCCCAGGCACATTAAGACTGCAGACAAAAACATGTCAAGAGCTCAGTAGACGTATCGCAGCAATAAACCGCAGACACAGGCAGATCTATAAAGAACTCATATTAACAACAGAGAATAATACCTAATGAGGAAAGTTCACGAACTACCGGGGCATTATTACCTACCGAGGGAATAAAACTTATGAATTTATTTGAAATTTTAGGAAATTATAGTTATTGCGTCAATATAGTACTACTACAACAGTTAGAGATCATTTAGAACTGTATTTTGCAGATTCGAATTTCCGTTCGAATTTGTTCGATGCCCCACGGCAAAAACGGATTCATCAGCATAAGATGACACATATTTGGTAAAAGACATATATTTTTTCATCTCTTTCTGGGTATATGTCAGTTATCGCCTCCTGAAAGCCGCGCTTGCCTTTTTCTCATTATCACATATCATCGTTACTTTCGACCACCATTATTAAGCGATATTATTTACTATGATGGAGTGGGTGGCGCCACTGTAGTTGTTATTACAGAGCGAAAGGCACAAGGTGAGCTTACAGGTGGAAAGTAGGTACACACTCACAGCCTAGCAACATACTCGTAATTATCTATATGCTAAAAATGGCCTTAAATAATGATGGTTAGATTGTGATTATTCTTCTGTAATAACTAGCTCATTCATTACAACCAAGCACGTATTTAAGGTGACCGGTTCCTACATTAGCAGATACGGGGGGTCGAAATGCGACATTCAGATGACCGATCTTTTCACATGCACCCTTGGTGTACAACTTCATATTGACAATGACGGAGGGTACACATTCAAGTAAGGTCTGGCAATCACGACTCGTCAATTTTTATTTAGCCAAAATAAGATATTGACTTTTATGTTCGGTACTGGCTGAAGCTTGGTAGCTGATTAAGGGTTGTTTCAGATGTGATCACCTATAAGCTATAAGTTGTTCATTAAATGCCAACACCAGCTTTTATTTTCGTACAGACAGGACGATACTCCCCTACAATCTAAGAAGGAGTGATGAGTATGATTTATGTTAAAGAAAACTGACCTAAATATTATCTATAGGACAGGGTTGATACACGCTATAGCTCCGCGTTGACTTAATCATTCAGCTCAGACTATATGAGGATTTTTATACAATAAAAAGCATGCCTTTAACGATTTCCCGGATTCTGTAACGTCTGATGGTAAAAATCAACGTTCAGTGAGAGAGCGTGAGCGTAATTCATCGAAGACTGATGAAACCATTACTAGAAAAGTCTTTAATAAAACCAATTCGTTTTTGGTAACATCATTTTCAGAGCTGTCAAGATGTCGAAGACAATAAAAAAATGAGAGACTTGATGAATCTTGAAAGGAAAAACAAGCTGCTGGAGATAAAACACTTTTTATCGGCCTTTTTCAAGCTATATGTTGTAAAATTTTTACACAAACACTGGAGGCAAAAGGGTGATTTTCGATTCAAGTCCAACACAGATGAAGACATGCTAAAATATATTAGAGACAATTTGTGCGACTATTACCATTAAAAACACACTTGGAAGAACCCGGCGCCACAGAGGAGACAGCAAAAAAAAACGCCAGCCTCAAAGAGGTTCATTAAGCTGATGTCTATATTTGCACTGAATAAAAGAAACATTTATTATTAGAATATATTGCCGGAAAGGAAATGGTTAGTGTTGTCAGCTGTTTGAAAGTTCGGAAGAGGCTCATGGATGCGTAACAAGAAATTGCAAGAAGATGCATGGCTACTCGACGATACTGTACGGCTTCATCGCTGCGTTTCAATCGCGGCCTGCCACAGCTAAGAAAAATAGGGTCAAACGATTGCCTCTGCCCCCATATTCTCTAGATTCAAACCGATCTGATTGTTGTTCTACATTATATGGCTCGGAGTTATTTTTTTCGACCTTCTAAGGCAGGAAGTGATAGAAAGAACCTTCGAGTAAGCGTTTATTCTTCGTTGAGGAGACAGAGCGGAAGAATCGGTAAGGAAGACATGATGATAAATGTGAGTACAAATTGACCTGACAGCGGTGTCACAAAGCGGTATTCCTTTGTGTTAGTGATACGAGTCTATTAATGTATTCCATGCACCTAGACGTTTGCTCTCTTTAGCTTTAGTAACCACACAGTCGGATAAAAAGAATATTTGTATCAGTATTTGACAAAATAGAGGTATACACAGGTAAGTATTTCGAATTATTTGCAGTACTGCCGTCAGTACAAAGCAACGTGTGTCTACGCTGGATTTCGGATCATTATCGTCAAAATTATCACAACTTTATCTTAACTTTATCAGTATCACAGTACATAGGTGAATCATTTCGTATAGCATCAACCGCATATATTGCAGACCACGTCCGAACATTTCCCCTGCTAAAAATAATCAGAAATGTGATGTTGGGATCGTACAAGAAAATACTATTAAAATAAAGTATCATGCATTCTAATCCTCATTATTTGCATACACAAGATCAGGCGCTTAGATTCGAGGAAACCTTAACGGACTGTTTGTTGCAGCAAGCATATGTGAATCCGCTAAACTTGATATTAGTTCGTTCTAAAACAAAGCAACAGGCTCATCAGGACCAAATAGGGCCTGTCGATTTTTGGAATTCGAAGACGAAGATTAATTATTATGCAAGTTATCAAGCGAGATCTAACCTCACCAAGATAGGAACTTTTTGTTTGCTGGAAGTTGATGGTTCACTTCATTGCCAGTTTTGTTTTGAAAGCCTCGATAATGATGTTGATGAGACAAATTAAATGATCCCCGTAAAGGCTTAGATTTAGAGAACTTAAAACTTTATCAAAATGGTTCAACAAACCATTTTGGATATAACTAGAGTTTTTGTACAAAATTAACGACGGTTTTGAGGAGAATAATATAGATTGCCCATTGAATCATCCAGATAAACTGTCTTTTTGTGCCTTTTTCGTACCTTTTGGACTTTTTGGCCGGTTTAGGTTTTCCCCTTTTCGGGACTTTTAGTTCTAAATTGGTTCGAAATTTTATTCTACTGAAATTTTTTCTATATAGCCTATTTTAAAATTTAAGCGATACTTGTTAACGTTTCACACTCAAGTTCATTCAAATTTTCGCTTAAAAGGTCATACCTACCGATGTTGTTTGTCACTACTGAAAAGTTATCCTAATAAAAAAAAACGTTAAAAATTACCAGTGAGTGATTTAGATTTCGAGCTGCAGATGTGATCGTGTCGAGTGGTAGTTACATTGCATATACATTATCATTAGGAATAAGACTTTTAGCATTCGAAAAGAAAACTATAGAAATATTTCTTTGTAAATAGTTGCAAAAATAACTCATAACAAAAAATCTTGATTTACGTGGCTCACCCGTTAGATCTATACAAGCGCTGTATCTCTGCTTTAAGTAAAAGTGTAGCCCTCCCCCACCTGTACTATATATATTATTTAGATTACTAGTATTTTAACGATCACCAAAAATTTGTTATTTAATTAAAACAAAACTCGTTTCTAAAGCACCAAAATCATTTTATTTTGTTCATTTGTAGAAAAAATACGTTTGATTTCTGTTGTTCTCATTCTTATATGTTATACACGCATCAGCTAAAATTACAGAGTATTCTTTCTTTATTTGTCATACATTACTATATACAAAGAATCCCCAGACACACATTCAATCAGTCCTCAAACACTTAACCATTGAATACCGACTGTTGTTTTTTGCTGGTTATTTTTTATGAAAGAATTTAGAGTTATAGCACGCCTGGCTATATCGAAACATTTCAAGCGTTAATTTACCGATAAATAGGTGACACTATAAAAGTATTACACTACCCGGGAACAAGTGACGCGATGCCTCGATTGCTAGCGAACCCATCGTCGTCTTTGGCAAACCACACATCGCCTGTGTTTACGGTTCTTAAGCCGCTGTTCCTGTGATTGCTTACCAAGAGGCGCTCCAGGTTTTTGGATGCATCTCTGTATATTCTGTCCACTCGGCCCCAGCCATGATCGGTTTCTGTGTTATTTCAAAACGACGAAGGAGACGATGGCGGCGTGTCATCTCTATCTATCTACGTCTGTGGAGGGGTCTCTCTGTGGGCGGAACCCACGAACCTGGTTTATTTGATTTTCGTCAAACTTCCTTGACTACTTCTGGACATTGCAGCTGTACTGCTCATTCTCATAGAGTCCTCTCCTCTGTCTGTTGCATCGATCATGGCAAACCGTCCGGTTGGCGAGACCCGACAAGTATACGAATGTCGGCTGTGTGCGTGGAACACAAATACGTAGATGACTAGCTGGACTAGAACGGCTGCTGATACACAGGCCCGAATCCACGTGCATACTTTTATATTACATTAACAACTTTATAAAACAAAAGAAGCTAAAAAAGAGCCGATCACTTTGTCGTAAGACAAATAATATCTGGCTGACGTATAGGTAGTGTGAAGTGGAAGAACAGTGAGCGTTAAGGAGCAATTTAGTGTTGACTCTGCAATATGAATTGAAGAGCAGTAATAATGGAGTTTAATAGGCTTGCTCTATCGCACATAAAAGAAGAGTTTCTCATACTTGATCAAATGACTTGTTCAAACAGGCGCATACATTTATATGGGGCTACAGGTGAGTGTCGACTTACAACTACTCGAAGTAATAACAAAACGGAATTTGTATGTTGTTATCCTCCTGTCCTGATGATGACAGTCTAGAAGTTGGCCTGCTATTTGCCAGTTTTACCTCACGAAGGGTCGTGCCACTAGAATTAAGGATCACCCTTGCCGGCTGGCGGGATGCACTAGTAAAATCATCTCGAACCGGGTCCGGTGTTCGACATAATTCAAGAAGATCAGGACCTTGAAGCGACTGTAAATTTCGTGACGTTGGTGCTGTAGCTGCTGCTGCCGCCGCTTGATGCATGTGGCTAGAGGACAGTTGGCAGACGTAAACCCCGTTTGCTCCTGAATGCTCAGTTGTGTTGTTGTGTTGTTCCGAAGATGGTAGCCTTGTCTGGGAAAACACATAGCTGACTTTTTCGTTTAATGATGTCGGAAGCCACTCGGAGCCTCCAATTTGCTTGTTACTCACGGAACCGCTGTTCGGTGAGAGCTTTCTACTTCCATACGGAATTACCATTATCTTGTTCCGGTACTTGACGCAACAGGCTGCCAGCAGTACGCCCGTTAGTAGGAGTAGGAGGCCGCCTGCACTAACCAACAGGGCGATTCGGACAAAGCGAGACCAGCCATTGCAGTCGAGCGCATCTTCACTATCCACCTCATCGATGTATGCGCCTGCAAAATAGAAATGGAAAATGAATTGCAAGAAGAACCGAGAGCACCGATAATGATTGTTGATGCACGACTCCTTTCTCAGCCCCCTTCTACGTACCTAATCTACCCGTTTTATCTCAACATTAGATTACCCCGGCAACACAACACGCAACGAAATTACCACACTTCGATGTATACGAATAGTTATGAACAGCGCCAAGCCGAATATACGGAATACCTGGCTGGAATAGTTGTATGTAGTCGTAGAGGGTAATATTGTAAAGTCCCGAGTGTTGCTCTGTGTCATATTCAAGCCACGTCATGCTGACGACCGTCGAACCCCCTGAAATAGGGCTTTCTACACACAAAGGACGTCCCTCGTTCAAAATACAAAGGCTAGGGTTTCTGCGGTCAGATGAGTAGTTCGACCAAGAGCCTGCCGGGGTGGGGGTAACTATTCGCGCTTGGAACACTATTGCACCAATGAGGGTTCGACCGAGAAGGAGGAGAACTAGCAAGACGAGGCAGTGCTTGCAGCGCCGACGAGAACAGCAGCCTGCAATGACAATGTTGCATAGACGTCATCGTCGCCATCGTCGTCCGCGGAGGACAGAAAACTACAACGGACGGCTTCGGTAAGTTGATGGTCGGCCCTCGGACATGGCTTCAAGTAGCGCACTTCCTTCCTCCGGCGTTCCATGTTACGTTAGCCCTTCTCCGATACACCCCAACTTCCAGTTAAAGCAGACTTCGACTCCAATCCCCTTACTTTAGTGTTAACCTCATGTTGCGCCGTATACTCTATGCAAATGTAGGCGCTACCCGAACGACGCTTACAAAGACCCTTCTACGAGGGTGGTGCAAATTGGCACAAACTTAGCTACTACGCTCCGGTAGCGTGCACAAACGCAACCATAGATACATACTTGCGCAGACAGACATACAAACGCGTGCACGTACACCTCCGGTCGACCCAGACGCCAATCACACGCACGCACCGGTCGCGGCTCTCTCTATTACACCCAACAACCTAGGAAAAGCTTCGGTTTCCGAGGCACGCCCCGACCAAGTGGCCGGCTGATCCAAACCAACAACGAAAGTTACCCAACCGCGTTGGTGCTGTGACGCGCTGTGGCCAAAGTTGTACTTGCTCGCGAACAAAGCACAATTTCCAGCCAGGCGAAACATTGTGGTTGCTTCAGGCAGCTTAGGCGTACGCAGCAATTAAGCATGCATAATCGCTTGGTTTTGTGCATGAACGCATCTTCAGGAAGACATATTGGAGGCTACATCTTCGTTACTATTATTATTATTAAGCAGAACTATACTTCGTGTAAAGTATAAACGCACTCGGGTGTAGAATGAACGATAATTTAAACTTACCTGCAAGATGCGAGGGTGCTACGCACTTGATCCTTGTCGTGTCGTTGGTGAATGGCGAATGACCCGCTGCTGACGACTCGAACAAGGCTGAACCGTTAGCAATTGATGTCGAGCTTAGAATTTTCCTGCCCTGTGGGTGTATTAACAGTAGATGCTGTTGCTGTCGACGCTTCACCAGAAGCCAACGCAGCGAGCAGTTACAGATAAGTGGATTGTCTCGGATGTCAAGCTCCTCGAGATGTTCCCAAGCCAACGGCAACAGGTCCGCAGGTAATGATGTCAGTCCATTAGCACGCAGGTTGACCCGTCGAAGCGTTGACAGAGGCCGGAATGTAGCAGGGTCAAGCTGAGCAAGTCGGACGTTCTGCGAAAGCACGAGCTGCTCTAACTGCTGGTTGTCTATCAGAGCGTTTGGCTCCAAGCGTCGCAACTCCGTAGCTCCACTAAGGCTGAGCGTTCGTAATTGACGCAAGTGCTGAAAGGCGCGGTCACGAAGTTGTGGAATCGGATTCTGCCCAATGTGAATTTCTTCGAGTCGCGGTATGTCCGAAAAGCTGACCGATGGTGTATCGTCAAGCTGGTTGTCCTGCAAGTGTAGGACCCGGAGGCTACCCAACGCCCTAAAGGCACCGGGTTGCACTGTCCGCAGCTTGCATCCGTCAAGTCGTAGTTCCTCTAGCGTTCGCAGTGGAAGAAACGCTTCTGCAGGCAAGTCCGTTAAATCATTCATTCCTAAATCTAGCACACCCAGCTCGGTGAGATGTCGAAGCGCTTTTGTCGGAATGGAACTAAATTTATTATCTCGTAAACTGAGCAAGCGAAGCTTTTTAGCTCCATGAAAGCTATCAGTATCTTGAAATTGTCTGATGCGATTATGAGACAGGTCGAGCCGTTGCAACTGTGACAGCTCTTGAAATGTTCCAGCCGGCAGATATTCGATATAGTTGAAGGCCAAATCGAGATGACTTAGTTGCGACAAGCCTTCGAGTGTGGCATTACTCAAGGTGGCGATCATATTTCGACTGAGGTCCAGAATCTCGAGATCAGGTACCGATGCAAATGCCCGTCGTCCTAAATCGACCAGCTGATTCTCTGACAGATCGAGGCTACGTAGTGTTGAATACGCTGTAAACGAAGATCCGCTAACTTGTTTGATTTGGTTGCCATGCAGTGATAAACTGCGAAGGCCAGGATGTAGAGTGTATGGCACCATGTCGAGCTGTGCATTTGGACAGTTTACTACCAGTTCGGTGTCGCGGCACAGGCAACGTAGAGGGCACATCTTTGTGCTCTGTACATTTGTATTGGTTAGTGTGGATATCCCCACAATGTAGAATAGAAGCCATCGCATCACCGCAGTAGAACTTCGGCTATCGATGTCGGCCGGGAGGCCTACGCGAAACATTTTGCCGTGCCTGTTTAGCGTGACGGATCACAATCGGAACTCATCTAAAAGGAAAAAGCGACAACGTGGGTTAGGCTTTAGGGGTCACATGTCCAATGGTCGCTCGCGAAAGGACGGGTCGAAATCAGAAGGAGGGGACCGATCTGATCTGTGTGCAAATTGCTTTACTCTCAGAAGGTCCCCAAGGCACTACTACGAAAAACTACTCAGGCTGGGATACAGTCAATTCTGCCTAGCATTCGATGGGCTAGGGGATTCGGTCAAGAGGCATACTTCGTTTCCACAAGTTTTCAGCTTCTCAGAGGTAGGCAAAGCATGTTAGAACGCCAAGGAACCCATTCCAATTATTTCCAAATAAGTTCTGTTCTCGATGCTGCCTCTGGCGGGCCCTTTTCACGTTCGTCTTTGTAGGTCAAGTGTCCCATTATTTATCATTACTATTACTAACGGACTGAACATATTCTATTAACATTTTTGTAGACGAAGCAGGCACACCCTAAGCAGTTTGTATTGTTCCACCAATTTCCACACTTCAGAGCCACCATCAAAATCGTCAGTACCAGTTCTATTAGCAGAACAACTCGTACTCACATAGCCCGTATTGCACTCTAGTCGAGGCGGAAACTAGCTGCTGACTGGATGGCTAGTCGCTTAGTTCATCGTTTCAAATCAACTAAGAAGTCAGACTCAGCTGGAACTTGAAGGGAGGCGAATAGAAACGAACGTGGCTTAGTAAATGTTCTCTAGTGTTTTCTAGTTACATAACAGAGTGGCAGGTAACAGCTGGCGGCGAGTTTGCTGCAGCGAGACGTTGCTAGCGCCTTCAAGCTACGAACTCCCAGGCCCCAAATTCATGTCAGGAAGGTGCCTCAAGGGAGCCAGCTGTTTTAGGATGGCCCGAAGAATAACGTCGGCCAGGCCAAAGGGCCGTTCGCCACTCAAGCTAACGAGTCGAGGAGAATAGTGCATGCGGCCAAAACGGTGCTACTTTTGAGATGAGATAACCGTAACAAGTCTATGTTACATTGCAGGCAAGCTACCGACTGTACGTACAACTTATTGAGACACTGGCGGCAGCACAACCGATACACGGATCAGCTAAACTACGCTCGAGGCAAGGAGGACTACATTTGCCCAACAAAAAACAACAGACAGTTGTTTGTTCGCCTGATCATATGCTTGTTTGCTTGTGATGGTCGACTGCAAAATTCTAAAAATAGATGCAGACAAAAAGATGAGCTTCTCGCATGTATAATCACCTCTAAACAAATAGTAAATTGGTAGGATGATACTGAAATCACAAGTGCAGCAGAGGAAATAGTAACAGGGACTGGTGTTAGCTACACAGGGACGTAATGCTTTTTTTCTTCAATTAAGTGTTGTTGAGGGGCTTAAATTAAACCTGAGGATTCAAACTTGAAAGTTCAACGAAAAGTTGATAGTGTACGGCGGAGTATCCGGGGCATATTTCTTTCCATTTCCACTGCACGCAATTCCCCTGCACCCCCAACTCTTATTACAGGTGATAAGTATAGTAAGTTCTGTAGTAGTAAATTTAGTAGTCCGGTAAAAAATACCGGCAAGCTATTTCGAATGTGCAACTCGAAGCGTGTGTTGATTCACAACAACAAATCGAGGAACGCAGTACAGATTTCTCGACTACACTCTTAAGTCCACTATTGAATCTTTGTTGAGTTTGGATAGTGGGCAAACGCCATGTATAGATTTTGTTTTCCGCTGAAGTGCATGTTAAAAACTGAGTCTACTGATCGTCAAAAATGCCGGAAAACAAGATTACTCAATTTAGAAACAAAAATAGCTTTGTGTGTGCCTTTATACTGTTTGATCTACGATCTGCCGCTGTTTTTGGCAGGCCGTCATCATTTTGTTTTTCTCTTGCTTTGCAGACCACATCCTCATTCAGTCAGTTCATCCTCTTCTTTGTGCATTATTCTTTACTTGTCAAGACAATCTTCGTTTTTGATGAAAGTACCTTCCGTCTCTTTGGCCTCGTAACTCCCCTGTCTCTTGTTCGTGTAATGTTCAACTAGTATAATTCTTTGTTACAACTATACGCCGCACTGTCTTTCTGGCTAAGGATCAACGAGTCTCGTCTTCCTACGAAGTTAGCCTTATCTCGATTCCCAATACCTTTCGTTGGTCTTTTACGAAGCAGCCAATGAAGCGTGCGACCGAGATGCGTTAAAACGAGCAGTAAATAATATACACCCAATCGTACTCCGCACGACAAAGAGGCTACACCAGCGTACATGTATTATATACAGTTATACATAAGAGAACTTCGAAAAATTTAGCAGGAGATCCTGAACGATGAGAAACATTAAATAGTTTTTACTGGTAAAGGAAACGAATGAGTCCCAAATAGCTACCGAACCACTGGGTCGCTTAATCGGCTCAGTTATCGGATCAACCTACCCGAACAGTAGCAGACATCACGTCCTTACAAGTTTGGACGTAGACGAACGGGTTCTCTCAGCGAAACCATTTTGTTAGCGGCAGCGCGACCCTCTTGAGGAATTGGTTGCTCCGTTGTTCGGTTACCCCCAGGTCACCATGCGAAAAAACCATACTTCTTAGTACTACTGCCACGTTTTCACTTGTCTAGCTGGTAAGCATAGATTAATACCAAATGGAGCGGTAATGGATTTCCGATTAATACGCACCTTATTCTGATGGTGTCTTCAAACGCTGATAGTGATATTCCGTCATTTCGTAACAGGGTACACAGACAGTTCATCCATGTAAATAGTAGAAACGAGTAAACCGGAGTCACTGCGGGAAGATTACCTCTACCGCACTGATAACGTGTTTCTAGCCTTTTCGTTTTGTCAACTGTCAAACTCTCCTGACAGCAATCCTCTGCCGTCTCTCGGAAGGCAAGGATTTAATGTTCTGGCACGAAATCCAACGGGAAAACGCATCGGAGTGGACACCTAGCTGTAGTTGGCAGTTAGCGCCGCTCGCAGCGGTCCGTTAGATGAGCGTGTTGATAGCAGAATGAACCGTCTGCATCCTCGCAAAGATTTCATGTTATACATAAGAATGTGCCCTCGCCTATCCTTCCCTCAGTAGTGCCCTTACTTGAAACCGAGTGGAAGGGATGAATGCAGTTTTCACGGCCGACAAGCTCTCTAGGACCGAGAACTTTTCGATATAGCGTACCAGTTGTTACCCTCGACTACGTACACATATATGTACTGCTGTACAAAAAGCGATAAGAATAACTTATCATTGGTATATATAGCACTGCATATTGTGCCTTTGTCAATGTAGTAAAAGTGACTTCAAGCTAAGCTGCTGATACCCTTTCAAACATACGTAAATCCAACCATTTCTTGTCATTATTAAATCGACATTTAGGTGACCAACACTATATAACTATTATTTTTCTGGTGTTACTAATGATAATACGACATTCTAGAAACACACAAGAAAGATTGCCCACGCACTTAATAGGAATCGGCAGCCTCAACTGCCGACGGTCTCAACGCGACCCCCTAGCATCGAGGGGACGGAAAGGGGCACCTTTGCAATAGTACGCCTTTTGTGGATGGCCTTCCAGTTATATCTAGGTAGTTCGTCGTAGCGTCGTTGCAGACAAAGTCCGATCTGAAGAAGTAGTGGACTTTGAAAAGACAACAGACGTGGTAAAAACATCAGACTCAAATTACGTCGTGAGCCTCATACAAACAGCTCCAGTTTTTGCGCTGAGATTGCGCACACTAGGGTACACACACACACGCGTCTCTTATTAAGCAATAAAAGTTGCTTGAGTGATTTCTAACCAATTTTTTTTTATTTGTTTTTATCTGTCCTGATTAGTACGACAAAATGTTGAACGCCTTAGCTTCAAGTTTTTGGTAGACTTTCATAGAATGCAGCATTTTTAAGCAGTACGCGTACAGTTCCTAGCCACACTTAAAAATACTTACGCCTGTCATGCGTACTTCATACAGTATCTTAAAGCAGAAATATCTACATTCGTAAAAACAAACAAGTACACTGACGAAGCATTTTTCTAATTGAATCTAACTTAAGAAGGGGCGATACTACGCCGCCTCAAGTAGTTACCGTTAGCGGGGAATTTCTTTTCTTTGATATCTTGCTGAATTTTCCAAAGCGGAGAATATAAACGATTCATTTCTATGGCAGAGGACTAGTCATTCAGATACTGTGTCTAATTTTACATCAGGCACCAAATGTTCGTCTAGCCATCATACACCTGATTCAGAGTTCAGGGCATAATCACTGAGTGAAATCGATGACATCTGTATATCATGCAAGAAGAAATTAAAAACACGATGTCCTACTTCGGAAAACATAGTTAACTGAGTAATCGAAGGTATGATTTTGTGCAATTTTCCGCATATTTCAGTATCGGCTTGGTCACCTTTTTCCAGGTGAGATCGTTTGCCAAACCATAGTCTACAGTTGTGTCGATTATCATCTTATGTTTGAGCCGCTGGATTTCTAACTCTTTTCGGAGAATGTTTTAAATAATCCAACATCATTATTGCCAGATTGCTCTTTTACCGGACACAATTCACGTTGACTTGTAAACCACATGTTTTTTGCTACCGAAACTTAAAGATAAGCCTTCACTATGGAGCTTGTTAGAATCTCCCTCCCTCTCCCTTTCTTCATATGTCTCTGAGAAAAAGCGAGAGCAAATCTCCCTTGTACGAAGAGCAAAGCCTTTGTTGTTGCTGCTGTCTCGATTTAGACCAAACATTCTGAGTAGAAGAAGTGACATTGAGGATTATAAGATATTTTATTGCCCAAATCCTGAATGAAAGCGTTTGCGTTGAATCGTTTCTCAAATAAGTTGTATTAGCGCTAAACCATCAAGCACTTTTTGGGCATCCATAACAGTCAATAACGGAAGTTTCGACAGAAGAATAAACATCACACCCCCGAGCATCTCAATCTCAGCATTCCGTAATGAAGGAAGGACATACATTTCGGTTTGCCACGTTTCCACCATGTAATTCAAATGTTGCCTTTCTAACTAGAGAGATCACAATTACTGTAGTTGTCCACATAAGTTCACTGACTTAGCCCTGCCACTGAGCACAATGTTCGTTTCAAGCTCTAGTTCTTATCGGTAAAAATAAAGATGCATTTAAGATGCACGAGGATCATGTACCTGCCAAAAGATACCCTATTCTATAGCGTTAGCAATGGCAAACTATCCGAAAAGTCATCTTTTTACGTCTAAGAATTTACGTAAGGATATAGGGGTACCTCAAATTACACTTAGGTCCTTTTAATTAGTTAAATGACACGGGTTCACAAATAAACCAATACTATAGGGTACAAACAAGAAAAGCGGTGCATCTTTCTGAACAAAAACTAATTATACATATAAAACGAAAGCTCTACATTGATGAACAAACCGCTTAGTTCCGATGTGACAATTGTACGAGTATCGTTTTGGTAGATAATTGCAAAAATATAAAAACTAATATATATAGTTACAGTACAAAATTACAGCGAAGTCCTACTTTGAACAATTACAAACTGGTGACAAGATCCTAGATTGAGACCTAAATATAGTTCTCACTACATGCTTCGCAAACATGTGGACGCCATGAGGAATGATTTGGAACAGCAGACGTATCTGTAGAAAAAAAAAACAAAATGTTAAGCTTAGAACAATCGCCGAGACGACGACACTGCCGACACCTTGGATAACAACGCTAGCTATGTCACAAGAACACAATTCATGGTACTTCTGGCATAACTTCTGGCAATAGCGTCAATTCGGCTAAAACTTGAGGGAAGTGCATGATAAAAAGACTCAATGCTCCCAAGCATAAGCCGCTCAAGCCTTAATCATATTCTAATAATGGCACAAATCACTCGCATACCGATCCGTGTGCACGTTAGAAAAGCACGTTGGCAAAGCTACTGCTTTGAGCATTGGAAAATTTTCATCCAATGACCGAAATTTACATATGGATACAATGTACCTAATTCTAATGTCGATATTCGAGCGCCGGAAGCCGAGTTAGAGGAATAACTGACGTAAGGACAGCAGCGTGAGCATGCTAGGTTGTAATATACGCTGTATCTGTCGAGGTAGAAGCCATAGCAATTACTCGGGATATAATCGTTCACGATGATTCTATGATGGCGTCACGATATGTATACTCATATAGTCAATACAATACTCTTAACGCGCTTAATTCAAACCTACTGACGGCCTAAAAAACTGAGTGGTGAATATATTCTTGGATCACCTCAGTGCTGGACCTTTTTTTTTGTTTGAAGGCAGTTCGTTATATTCGATAACGCCACGTATCTATTTTCGTGTATATAGCGATCTGATAGGTGCTTCCTTACCTTAAGCTTAGCCTCATACCACAGCAAAGAACACCGCTCCCTAAAATGTTGAACACGGCCTTTTAATCGACTCATATTGCTTTTATCTGATAAAACGTAATGTGTTAAAATTATCTAATGAGAAAGGATGAAGTTGATGTAATAGCTGTTGATAATTAACTCCAGTAAAAAGTCTGACTATTTCAGTTTGCATTTCACTTGTAAGATTCAAACCAGAGTCCAGTCTGAATCTGTTCCTCCAGATCCAAGTTCCTGGATAATATTCCTCAGATTAAACCTTGCGGCTCTATATGTTCAAACTATTCTGTCACGGATGCAATTGTCTTGAGCTAGCACGTCTGCGTTAGGAGTCTGGATCGTTTTGTCCTACTTAACTAGTCTCCTATTTGGTTCACTGGGATAAAGTACCAGCGGGTCATCGTTATGATTTCCAATGATCCCTCATACCCGACGCCGATCTAGCTTAGCACAGAAAGTAGGGTGTTCACGTGTTTAGCGATGCTTTTGTTGATATACACGTTTTGTAGTAGATGTAAGCGCAAACGTTAGGCCAAAATCAAAATAATGACAGACGAGAGGTAACGTGACTGAATACCTACGACCTTGGCCTTCGTGCCTGTACGTGTCTAGATATGCATTTCAAACTTAATCAGAGATTGACATTTTTTTAATTCAAACAAACAGAAATTTTTATCATAATAATAACGGATTGTAATTGTATGGCTGTTGAAACAAACTACCTAAAATAAAAGTGAGTGCGTAGTCCGAGCTGTTCGAAAGAGTGAGCTTTGCTGTACGATACAGACCGGCTAAACGGGCCATCTGTTTATCAGGTATTAGATTTAATAGGAAATTAGGAATCTCACGGATTCTAGGATCCATAATGAACGCCTAAGCACGGTCGATATTTATTGTGTAACGAGACGATTGTTGTTCTAATTGGACTATGTATTATTATACATACGTTATCACTTTAGGATGCTATTGTGCGAGGGAAACTCGCTCGAGAAAAAGAAGAACAAAGAATATCACGCATAGATACTGCAAGCTGAACGGTATTTCCTTCTTCAAAACACCTTCTTTGGTATCCAATCTGCAATATTTTCTTATAGTAACACATCAACAAACAGGGCCTAAAGAGCTGTTTTTACCGTCTATACATCGTGCGCTGGAACACAAGATGTCACACTCAGAGAACAAATGTTACACACGTAAATTATCATTGTGTAAGCCAGATCGTTTAATAGAAGTAGGACACGGTGCTGCATAGCAAACCGGGAATCACGGTCAAAGACATTATTCCAACAGCCATTGACTGGATCGGTGACCACGAAGGGAACCAGCATACCACATGAATCGCTTCTAGACGAAGCATGAGAAATTTTCACAGTGTCTTACAGAAGATAAGTAAGGTACCTCTTCCAATATCCGTGTGGTGTCACAACGGTACCGAAGATGACGCCAACTACACCTTGGTGGGCTGTCCCCGGTGGGTTCGGACCGCTGAAGGGAAGCTCCGATTCACGATGGGGGCCAGCCACTGCGGCGTTGTTTGGTACATCTGTAGCGGCACTAAGGTAACTGGCCGGAAATAGACCGGTAGAAAAGGCCACATTAGAAAGGCATAGTAG